CAAGTTTGCATCTGATAAATGTACGTGTAGGCAAGTATGGATGTATCATCCCAAACCAATTAATAGGTGCAATTCACATATGTTAATAAAAAAATAAAAGATAAAAAAATTATAGCTGCTCTGATGTGGCTTTGACACCTTGGACTGTGACTTATTTTTTTCATTGTACTTTGAAATCTTACTGTGATTTTGATCCTAGATAAAAGATATTAGCATAAATGTTGAAACAAGCTTTCAAACCACATACTTAGGCAAATGAATGCTTCACACCAGTGCATACAAATCACCTTGGGGTCATGTTGAAACACAGGTTCTGATTCAGTGGATCTAGGGTTGTACCTGAGATTCTGCATTTCTAGCTAGATCCCCAGTCATGCTAGTAGAGTTGGCCAAGAAGCACCCTTGGCGTAGCAAGATTCGAAAGCACTTCTCTTACTCTTAGAAAGGAAGAACTCTGCAAAGGGGAAGAGCATGTTCATATTTTCTCCTGAAATAAAAATATTTGAAAGCATGATTTTATTGCTCGGAGCTGTATGCCTGTGTAGGATAGTAATAATAAATAAATGATGGTTGAATACAATAAGTTTTTTTTGCATTTAAATTAGCCACATATCCACTGTCCTTCAGCGTTTGATGTGGTCAGTGAGTGGAGCACCTTTGGGATGCTGAACAGTGTGCACATTTCAGTTCAGAAACTCTTCTTAAGGGAGGAAACGGAAGACCTGCTTCATAAAGAAAAAGGACAAACATCATAGCAGCCGTGAAGAGAGGCTAATGGGTTAAAAAAAATCAATAAAAAAAGAAAGAGGCTAATGGGTACTGATAACAATTTTGAGCCAAGCACGCTCTCATATTTATTTATTTATTTTTTGCTCTCATATTTATTAACTCTTTTGTTTTCTAAAGTAGTTTGGGAGGTAGGTGTTGGAATAATCACTTTCCAAGCACACAGGTTGAGAAGGCCAAGTAACACAACTTGTATGTAGAAGGATTAAAATCCTGATCTGCTTAAGTCTCAAGCACCTGTGTTCTTTCTGTCTCTGGGTTCTACCCCAGCTGCCTGTGTAGGGCAATGGAGATGCTTGAGAAGTAAAAGGTAGAAAGGAGACCATCTGACAAAGAATTTCAAGCTATTGACCTGTGAAGGCCATGGCCAGGCTTGTCTGTAGAGCATCAAGGGAAAGAAGAAGGAATTTAGAATATCTGGGGAGGAGTTCTAGTGGGGACAGGAAGTGGGTTTTGTTTATTCCAACTCATCTTGCAGATTAGTGTGCAATAAGGGGTTGGCTCAGCAGGCCTGGGTTGACCAAAACCTGTATATTCCAAGGAAAGATCTGGCCCTTGGCTGACTCCGGGGAGACATCCTTTATGCCCTGGAAATACCTGCCTTGTGAGAAAAGTCTTTGTTTATCTGGTCACCTTGAGTCAGTCCCACTAGATAGTCTAGTTTTCGTTTAGATCTAGAATGTCCCACAAAACCTCCTGAATTGAAGGCTTGGACCTTCATGCAGTGAGCCTCAGAGGTCAGTTTTGGGGCAGTGATTGGATCATGAGGACTGTAACCTCACCAGTGGATTGATCCATTGATAATTCATAAGTTAATGGTATTATTGGGAGATGGTAGAAATCATAGACGGTGGGCCTATTTGGAAGAGATAAGTCATTAATGGTGTGCCCTGGAAGGGTCTAGCTTGTCCCCAGTCCCTTCCTTTCTCTTTCTCTTTCCTTCTAGGCTGAACTGAGCAGCCTTCCTTCACCATGGTCTTCCTCCATGGTGCTCTGCCTCACCTCAAGCCCAAAGCAGCAGAGTCAGCCGACCATGGGATGAAACCTCTGAAAACTGTGAGCCAAAATAAATCATTCCTCTTTTAAGTTGTTTATGTCACGTGTTTTAGTCACAGCAATGGAAAGCTACGACAGTTTGTATCAACAGTATGATTGATGGTGGAGTCTTGGCTGTGGCGTATCAATTTGACCCCTGGCAGGTCTAAAGACTAAATAACGGTCAGCCACATGGGCACTCCATGTCTACATGACAGAGCACCCAAGATTCCCCGGACACCAAGACTGAGGGGAACTTTGTTTTAACTTTGTTAAACCTTTTATGTGTTGTCAGAGAGTGTGGGAGGCCATCCTCACACTGATTTGAGTTACCTCCCTGGCTGGGTGAGAGTGCTTAGACACAGCTGTGTTAGAGCCTTTCCCACCCTTTCCCAGGTCCGAGGGTTTGTCCATGTGGAGGCGTGCCTGGCCACTGCCCCAAAGACCCAATCGTCGCCTCTGACCTTGGGATGCTGCCCCCCTTTAACTTTCATTGGATGGGACTTTCCTTGGAATTTTTTGTTCCCCAATAAAAGCCCACTCCCTGGCATGTTCTCGCTCTCGCTAGTCTGTTCTGTAAACCTCACCACCGCATTAGATGGCTGGAGGCGGGAGCTAGGAGAAGCCGTCTTGGAGCTGATATTAAAGGTAATGAGAGTCTGTCTCTTCAATTTAAAACTCCCTAGCAATTACTTATGAATCGAACCTTCTTTCAAGAAGCCAGCGCTGGTTGTGTGGCACAAGAGAGCCTCGCTGGAGAATTAAGGGCTGTCCAGTGGAGGTAACACCTGGAAGTTTTGCATCTGGTCTCTCCTGAACTCTGTCCTATGAACATTTTACCCTTGCTAATTTTAATCAGGATCCTTTCAGTGCAATAAACCATAACCCTGAGCATAACAGTTTTTCTGAATTTGTCAAGTTTTTCAAGCAAATCATTGAATCTGAAAGTGATCTTGAGGATCACCAATCACCAATCATTAAGGACCAACTAGAGGGAATGGAAACTAGTTTGCAGACTGGTTTGGTTCAGATCAGTAGGAACTTATTGAGCACTTACTACAAACCAGGCATTACTAGTTATCAGGATACAAAGATGAAGTCAGAATCCCCACTCTTCAAGACAGTTTTGTTCCCAAGGAGATACCAAGGAGAACACTAATTTTTAAGCAAGTGATAAATACACAATACATGGCATGGTAGCATGGGACTAGAGGAAGGTCACTTAACCTGAGGCTGAGGAAGGAAGGCTTCCTGGGGTACCTCTCCAAGGACCACCCTGAGCATTCTGGGGGCTTGGTTACAGATCTTGGAGCTGTCTTTCTGCAATTTAATAGTTCACCGTCGGGATATTTGTGTCTGGAGGCACTGGGTTAAAGTGAAGCCATCTCTAGTTGTATTTTTCACAAACCTAGTTCTCTGCTAAACTCAGCGGATTGCATAATTCATCAGATACCAAAATCAAAGTGGTCTTTCATTGGAAAAAGAACACAAAGAACAGACTCTCTGTGTGGCTTATCCCAGGCTACCTACTAGAATTGGGGGTATTCTGCCTCAGATAACTGCTGGTGTCTCCAAGCACCCCTGAGGTCAGAATGCTGCCACATTAAAGTCATAGGGCCTGGTAGGGCATTCTCCCCAGTCTTATTCACCCCTGTCAGTAGGGAAGAGGTTCTTAAATTCCACCTGTTTTCCTGGAAGGCACAGGGCTGGAAGGTCTTGCTCATTTAAGATCAGGGGTGTTTCATTCTTTCTCACTTCTCAGGGACATTGCTATAAAGGGGGTATATGGGAACAGGATTCTTGGTCTCCCATTTCTTCATGTTCTTCTTTTATAAGTTCCTCACGTCTATTCTATAAGGTGCTAGCCTCTACCCAATACTTATTTTTGAAATGCTTTACTCTTCATTTCCATTATTTCCAAGATGCCTCCTCTCCATGCTTATATCAGTGTGATGTGTCAGGCTAGATCCACACAGGCAATCCTCCTGTATAATGCCCAACAGTGTGGGGATCTTTCCACCGAGGCTACTCCCCATGGCTCAGATCATGACGATTGTGAGTTGTGTCCTGTCCTCTTGACCACTCTTCAGACAAACCACAGAAGTGCAATGATGTACCTCTCATTCAGGAATCTCCCTCTCCCTCCAGTTCTCCACCTCTAAGGGACATCTTTCCTTCTTTGGCTGTCTAGCATCTCTTTGGAGTTCTTTTGCCTACTCTATGAATATTGATGAGAGTCAAAACTCACCACCAAAGAGAAGCTTATAAGTCTCTACACCTATTTCCTTGGCCCCCTTCAATGGTGCACCCACCTGGGATTCTGACGCGAGAGCTGTACCTGAAAAACAAACAAACAAAACGGGAACATGGATTCATCCTGGTGGACTGTAAGATGTAGGCAGAGGCAGCCACATGCATCTCCAGGGCAGGAGCAGAAGCCGGGCAGGTTATACTGAGTCCGATAGCAGCATCCTCAGGATCCCGTCTGCATCAGAATGTGATTCTGGCCACCTGTTACCTCCTAACTGCGTGACAGGTTTCCAGCTATCCAGGTCTGGTCAGGAAATTACCTTTCCATTTCTATCAGGCAGAACCAGTTTCTTTCACTTAAACCTAGAGATAGTGATTGAGAAATAAGACCATTTAAAAAGCGCTTACCTCCTGTCATCTTCCCTTCCCGGGCTTCCGGCTTTCCTAACTAGACGTGAGCCAGAAACTTTTTAAAAGGCAGATGGGTAGAGAGAATGAACTCTAAATTGAGAACAAAGATGCTAAAGATGAGAATTTCTCTCTTCACCGCTAACCAGGAAATAATACAACAAGAGGTTCGAATGTAACTAGTAATTCCAGCTTCTCATAAAACTTTTAAAAATTTATCAATGTCAGTAATAAGGAGAAAAATAAAAAGTTTCCCTCTTTTTGCCTTCTGAATCTCTCTCCATTTTTTTTTCTCCATCTCTTACCCAATCCTCAAAGCATGTACCTTGGGTCTACCCAGGATTGGAATGTGTACTGTCAATTTCCTTTTGGATTACAGCTTTCAGTTGGCTATCTATGTAAGACTTTTACTATCTATTTCTATACAAAACCAGTGAGAACAATATTATTCTTTATCAAATACTTCAGCCTCTGCCCTCCCCATCCCACCCCATCCCACAAGCAGAGAGCAGACACAATCGTTTAAAACACACAACATGATCTTCTTTATTTAATTGTTTAATCAGTTTACATTCCACAACTGACAGATTATTTATTTTATTTTTTTCCATGAACAAGTCATTTAATTAATTACCAGACACTTTTTTTCTTCAATCGATGGAAATACAATATTTCTGCCAATTTGAAAAAGAAAATTGCAAGATGCAGTCAGTTTCAGTGAAGTCCCCAAATGCTCTCTGCTTCCTCAGTCCTTTCAAAGTCACAGGAACCTGGCAATTTCCCTTTTCATTCCCCCCTCCCACTTCCCTGTTAAATTCCTCTTAGAAATCACAAGAGTTTCAAGATCTGGTTTGGATCACCTTTTCTGTAATTAATTAAGTATGAGAAGGAACAGACAGTACAATAGATCTGATAAGATGTAGCATTCTTGTTAAGATTAAACAATACATTTATTCACATCATATCAGAACAAATTAACATAATATTTAATCTTATTTTAGCACCAATAACCACAGGAATTGCTACCTCCAAGGGGAGAGTTGTTAGAATCCTGCAGTATACACCACTCCTTGTCTAACCAATCAGAAAGCACTATGCAAATTAAAGTAAAGGTAAATAAATTTATATTGACTGAGCAATAATCTGGCGGACCATAAACACTCCAGGTGTTCGAGAGTTTTGTCAGCGATGGTCCCTGTCTAATGACCATATATAAAACATACTCACCAAATCAGCTCATTTTCTCTCGCTTGGTAACACAGGGCTCAGAATGTTATATTTTAAACGAATCAAACCTTGTCATACTGGCCTTTTTGAAATGCTTTGAGAATGCCCAGGGGTTGGTTGCTTGTGTTCTATTCTGTTCTCTGCACTAAGATCTTGCTACTTGTCTTTTTCCTGAACAAAAGAGGTTTCTTCAAACCCAAGGAAGGTGTGTAAGCAGAGAGGAGAGGTAGGCAATGGTGGCCTGAGTCACAGTGCAAGGATAGAACTTGTCACTGCCACCTCCCAGGAGACCCAGCCCACCTGTGGCTGCCACTCAGTGTACCTCCTTTTTAGCATTTGATTTTAAGCTAGAAAATTAAGGAATGGAGAAAACAGCTCCGAATATTGGTGAGATGTTCTTAGCAGGCAACTGCACCAGATGACAGATGGTTGTGAGCTCTTTTTTCTTCACAGAGAGAAGGCCTGTCTACCCCTCCCCACTGAGAGATAAAGGACATCATAAGGCAGTGGCTGATGCTCCTACAGCCTAAAAGATCATGACCTGCTTTGCCCTCTAGGATTTGGGTAGGTCATGAGGGTGGGGTTCCCTTACTAAGTAGGTGAAACAGAACTTCCAGAGGCTAAGACAGCAGCTGGACATTGCTCTGTGCTTTCCACTCTCAGCCAACACAGCCAGCCTCCTGCCTCTGTCAGCAGTGATACGATCTTGGTAGTTAGTGATACACAGGGAAGAGTGGTCCGCTCAGTCTCTTAAAGAAGACCCTAAATCTGCCCTGGCCTAGACAGCAGTCAGAAGCCACATATGGCAGCTGGAAATGTGACTGATTCAAATTAAAATTGTTTTGTTTTTCAAAGTAAAATAATTCACACTGGCTTAAGAATATTAAAAAAAAAACATAAAATATCTCAGTGATTTATGTTGATGCCATGTTGAAATGATATTTTTGATATGTTGGGTTAAAATATAGTATGAAAATTAATTTCACCAGTTTGGTTGGGCTTTTGGAAATGTGGCTCTTAGGATATGTAAAATTGCATATGTGACTCATATATTCTGTTGGACAGCAGGGGTCCAAATCACCTACCAGAAACTGGTCCCAGAGATGATCATCATGGATCATCAGAGGAGGATTTAGACTGAAGCTGCCTGTAACCACGGAGTGGAGGGAGGTGCTGTCATTGACCAAGCATGGTGTGCTTCCCCACTCTAGGAAGCTACTCTTCTCCTCTTGAAGGCAGGCAGCATTTGTGCAATAGGATCATCTGTTCCCTGCTCGATCCTGCTTCCTCTTAACTGCAGGGTCACTGCCTTGGGGCTCCTTCTCTGTGCTACGCTGAGGGCATTCTGGTGATTCAGCCACATCTCCATCTGAAAGTCCCCTTCATCTAACCTCTACTCTGGATCCACAGTTTTGCACATGGCCACCACCCCACAACCACCACTGCCTTCTCCATTCCCCTCCGTGGCAACCCTGGGCCAGCCAGACCTCCTGCGTCTGACTTGGAGAGCCACACTTGCAGATCGAGTCACAGATTACAAGGCAACTCACATGCCTCATCTCCTCTGATGCTCCTTCTCCTACCCCGGCCCTGGTGCAGCAAAGCTGTCAGTAGAGATAATAAAATGAGATCGTCAAAGTAGGCGGGAAAAGGCATCTGAGAATGAAAAGGTAGATAAAAGGCTTTGGACTCTGAGCACAAACTGGCTGTTGACTTGAGGTGACTTTCTGAGGAATGAAACTGTGGGTCAATAATGGCCGGGAGAAAAACTCCTGATTTACCTCAATGTAGTAAGTAAGTAAGCACATACCAGCCAGCGTGGGAACAGAGTCTCTAAAAAAATAGCAGCAGAAAGGACAAGGAGACTCGGCATCCCAGGAGTCCTGAAAGCTCCCCCACTCCCTGTTAGGTTGAGAGGACGTGGAGACATGGTGAGGTAACAAGACTCGCCCGAGGCCCCGAGTGAGCTGGTAACAGAGCTGCTGAATAGCCACCTCAGGTTCAGGTCTCTGTGTTGACCTTTGCCATGACCTTGGCCTTTATGACTTTGATGATATGCTCTTACTTTGGGGGAGATAAATTCTACTATCAAGGCAAAACCCTTTCGAACAGAACTCTGACTGCCAGAGAAATGACCAGAAAAATCACCTGTGCCACACCATCCCTCCCCTCAAATGCCACCAGAGTCAGGATTCTAGGGTAGTTCCACCTAAGTCCTCAGAAAACTGAGGGCTACAACATCGCGTGTGAGTAGTCGCAAACCCCTCCCCTTTATTTTCAGTTTCCACTTTTATTGTACATTTTTACAGAGAGTCTTGAATAGCAAAACAGTCACACCGGGGGTGGCGATGGGCAAGGGGGATGGGCGATACCGGAGAGGACTCTGTAAACGGCATCGTCACACTCACGACACAGACACACCGGTACACACAGACGAGGAAGGGTCCAAGGGCCACCCAGAAAGGAAAGGAATGGAATGCTTGGGGTCCAGGAGAGAGAGAGGGACACAGAGTTCCTTAGGAAGCGACACCAGTCCTTGGGAATGAAGAGGAGAGGCTGGCGTCTGTCAAAGGGATGCCAGGTTGAGCTGTGGCCGGGCAATCCCAGGTGTGACCCAGATTTCTGTTTCTCAGCACTGAACAAACACCCCTGAGGCTGGGCAGTTTCCCCCATTCCTGGCTGGGCTATATCAATGGCAAATTTTTGAACTTCCCTAAGAGAAGGTCTCAACACAACATTGATCCACTGCAAAGCAGAAAGTGCACAGACCCTTTTGGGAGTACATTCTTTTCTCATTTAGAATCTAGGATTTAGTTTTTCCCAAACAAGATCATACTTAGAACACGTCCCAGTGTGTGTCCCACCCAGAGGACTCCCTGCAAAAACTTGGAGGCTTCCAATGAAGTCATGGGCTTCTCCAATGGGCAAGAGAAAGCAGGTCCTAGCTCCTTGAAACTTATTCTCATCCTAAACTTAAAAATCATTAAACCTTTCAGAATCTAACTTGTTCCTACCACTTGGGTAGGTACAGCTGGAAATAATGCTAGAATTGGTCAAAACAAACAACTAGGCATTAACCACATGCTTTGATTAAAAGTTAACTGTTTCAGCTCATGGTTTATGTGTTCCATTTTCTCTGGGAATAAGCAAGAGGGACAATAGTGCCCTTTGCAAAACTGGCCTTGGGATGATAGGAAAGAATCTGGGAACATGTGAAGTAAATTCAGGAGCCAATTTCTCTGGAGAGTCTGAATGAAGAAGAGAATCCCATGTGCTTCTGGTGGACAGGTAAAGTCCTATTTAGCAACCAAGATGACCTCTCTCTCTATCCCTTTAACAGCAAGGCACAGAAACTAGATGCAAGAATTCCATTTCAGTGAGGGCTCTGCAGCTGTAGATAACTTGAACCGTGCGTAATTCATACAGCACTTCATGTTTGCAAATGTCACCCTTAGTATACCATGAGGTAAAGTGTTATCACCATCCTCACATTGTAGATGAGGAAGTTCAAGTATGGAGAAGACACAGTGCCCAGAGTCAAATCATTTTAGTGCAGAACAGAAATGAAATTTACAGTAGATGCATTATACAAGTGTAGCTTAATTAGTGAGTTACTCTGGCTTCAGTGCTCTTACACCCATGATTAGATTGAGATGGCACCTGGGGGAAAAAACAACAAGTAGGGGAGATGTGTGTGTGTGTGTGTGTGTGTATACATATATATACATATATGTATTCATATATATGAGAGAGAGAGAGAGAGAGAGAGAGAGAAGTAAATCCCCAAACAGGAAACTTTTAGTCCTGGTCCACCTTCTAGTATTGAGCTTTCATAGGCCTCTTTGTTCTGGGGGCTCAGAACCTGTGCTCCTAATGCCAAGAACAGAGAGTCAATGTGATGCAGAACAGTGTGGTTCTGTAGCCATAAAATGTCCTCATAGTCCCATCTGCCAATCCCGAGAAAACCATGCATTAGAGAGGTTTGGGGCCACGGCCATTATGACGGGGTACACCATAGATGACAGTGTGATGGAATTATGGACGAAATTGTAGCATTTTTGTTTTTCACTTTTATAAGTAAAAAACATGTCTACAATGAGCATGTATTACTCAGGATAAAAAGCTCAATAGCTGATATTAACATATTCTAAGAACCAGAAATCAAGTTTAAGAAACATTTTACACCATGGCAGAATCAATGGAAAGATGCCAAATACAATCCCAGAAGTCAGTGGCTCTGAGAGGTATTAGAATCACTTGTGTTCATCAACTCTGTGGTGGGCTTGCTTAAAAATCTGTCCCCTTTCTCTGCCATACCAACTGGAAGACAGCACCAAAGCCAGTCCAGCTGGTACACACCAATGGTTTCTATACGTGCTGAAATCACCTCTCACTCTGACTCATCACGTTTACCAGGACAGCACTGGATGTATTCACGGGGATGCTTAGTCCCAGGAGCAGACAGAACACTTTCAGAAAAGCAGCTTCACTGGAACTGAAAGAAACAACCGACTGTCACATAAACCACACCAAAGAATGACTAGGGTGTGTATTTCTCCCCACTTCTTCCCTTGGTATCAGTTCATGAACACTCTCAGCATAAGCTAGGTGAATATGTTCCTTTCTAAATGCCTCTAAATGATCTATTTGATTTTTTGAAGTCTGACATTGGCTCAGGTAGACATCTTGGGAATCCTAAACTGCACATTCTTCCACTAAATCAGGACAACCCCACATGATGCTTTCATGCCAGGCCTTTTACCGTAAGTATGGACCAATACTGAGAGACAGTCTCCAGGTACCCTCTCCTCTTGGAAGGAAAGGAAGCACTGCTGGGTGGAAATGCCCAGTGGGAGAATAGACCAACATGGCGCCAGGACCAAGAGTGCTACACAGGGATGTGAGGTCAAGGAAGGCTGGTCTTGATTTGGTGGAGCTGTCCAGTCTTTGTGACTTCATAATCCCTAGAGGTCAAAGGGTAGAGTTGCTGAAACGCTAGGACTTGTGGGAAGGTTGAAACTGGAATGGGTGCAGTCTTTCATTTTTTTAAATTTTGATGCCGGTGAGCCACAGACTTCCTTATGAAACCTAAAGCCACAACAAATAAAGATGGGGGCTACTTGGAGTCTATCTTTACCCTTTCCAGATATGAAGTACTTAACTATTTTAGCTGACTAAGGTAGGTTCAGAGGCAAGTAAAAGAGGGTAGGAAGAGAAGAAACAGAAAAAGAAACCATAACTCACAAAATGAGGGGAGAGAAAAATGGGATCTCTCTCTAGGCAAACATGCCACTTTTCTGAATCCCTAATCTTGGAGGGGAGAAAAAAAAATAAAAGTTGAAATGGGCCCGTGCTCAAGGTTGGCTGGCTTGGAGCTCACAGTGTAAGCTTGATAACATACTTGCATGCACACACCATAAGGAATTTGAACTTGATCTGGATGGGAACTGGGGGTCTTATAGAGGCCACTGACCCTAAGCCCCTCTTTAGGTTTGGTTCTAGTTCAATTTGGAGTTAGCAGCATCTGGCTTTGAAAGCCTCACAGGTCAGGTCTCTTTTTTGCTTCTTCCTCAGCTACCTTACAGTCAGGAGGCTTCAGGAACTGGTCGGAGGGGTGTGGTTTAAATCTATGGTCAAGCCCCTTTGCTGAGAGAATCAAAGTCACCTGGGCTCTTTTCCTATTGGCTAGGACTTGCCTCCTAGAAAGGGGCTTCCATTTTGACCATGTGCCTGGCCATGTTACTGTTCCCAAGCAGGACAGACCCCAGAGTGCTTGTATCTGTACCTTTCTGACCCCAATATCAGAGAGCTAAAAGGCCCTGCTCTGCAGATGTGGAGATGACATAGATGCTCTACTTCCCCAGAGTCCTTCTGACATCTCAGGGATGCTCAGATTTCAAAGGGATGCAGTAAATTTCATTAAAGTTTCAACACAAAGATAAGTACTGGATTGGGCAGATGATATACTTGTAGCAAGTATGTATAGAAAAAGAGGGTATAAATAATGATAGTTCTATGCGCTAGTGTCTTCAAAAATGGTTACTAAAGAAGTTTAAACAGTTGATAGAAATTTGTCCCATTTATAATTGTTTCCCCCACTTTTCTGCAACTGGAAAGAAGCTGGAATTTGCATCTAGTCACAGATAAACCTCTGCCCTAAATGGATGCTCACAGATACTTGCTCTCCCTGTCTAATTCAAGGTGCTTGGTAAAAAGTCACAAGGCCTCTCAATCTGAGATACTATTTTTCACTCTTCCCGTCTCCCAAGTAAGCCATTTCCCTAAAGGGAGAGATCAAACTTTCAAAGAAAAATGAAAATAAAATTCCCAATTAAAAAACTAGGGTTTCCTGAAAATTACTTCCCTTCTCATAAGTCTTAAAAACAATCCTTGGAACCTCCATCAGAAGCCAAGAGCACTTCTTTCTACCCAGCTCTCCTCCATAGCCTGGTACACCCATACCAAGGGCACTCACACACTAAACCTTTTGCAGAAGCTGACTGGGCTCCCTGGAGAGGGAGTCTTGAGTAGGGCATCCACACTTGCGTGCAGGTGTGTACTAACACAGACAAGCAAAATGCACCAGAGATACACACAGCATCTACACTCAAGCCCATTCACGCGCATCAGATGTCATAGCCAGATATGGATTACACACACACCGTCAAGAAGAGCAAATGACAGGCTGGACTTACACGGATGCAAGGTGCCAGGGCCAGTGGTCAGTAGATAAGAAGAGGGGAGAGCTGGTTGGAAGACAGGTGAAGAAACAGCAATGAGGAAGGCAGGCTGCTGAGTGTTGGCAAAGTTCCCAAAGCATATGAGCTATTAAACAGCTAGATTCTCTGCTGCAAGGTTAACTGTGGCTATGTCAGCTCAGGGATTCTCTCCCTGCCTCCCCTGGGGCTGCTGGGCACCAGCAGGGCCCCTGAGGTGACTGAGCTACTCCAGCCCTACAGCATCCACAACTCTGATTTCTCTCCACTCACCGGCACCTGCCGCGCCATTTTGCTCAAGTGGGCCTGAGACGCCGGGGTGGATTTATTTCACCTCTGTTTGGGTGCTAGCTACTAAGACAACTATTTTGGGATTCATGGCCTTGAATATCAAGAGGAAAGGGAAGAAGATGGAAAGTCAAGAGTTCTCCATTAATTTACACAATATCATACAAATTTGAGCCCATGGGTAATGGAGGTGTTCTCTCTGCATGTGACTCATTTTCCTTCATCTGTACAGACGTTACCCCTAGGAAAGGGGTAGATGTCCAGTGACAAAGGACAGCCCCCCATGATGGGGAGTGAAGGTCTTGTTTGGTATACGTACTTGTACAACAGCAACCAGAGGCGACATTCCTTCTCCCTCCTGAACTGTGTGTTCCCCCCTCTTCTCTCACGGCTTTTGTGCCCAGCTGTGTCTTGAACTTCCAAAATTAGAGGACTAAATCCTGTGGCGATCCAGAACTGTAATGTGCAGAGCCACAGGGTCCTCTGGCCCAGTGGTTTTGTTCTCGGTTCTGCTCTCTGGGAATTTCTGTTGTACCAAAAATAATAGAAAAAATGCAACACAGATAATAAAACCTCCCACTCAGGCAGCATCCACCACATATGCGTTCTCTCTCTCTCTCTTTCTCTCTCTCTGTCTCTCTCTGTTTTTCTTCAGGCATCTGCAGCTGCAGCACCAAGTACTGGCATCCATAGAGGCCTGCCTCTCATACTTTCTAGGAATCTGGGCTTCCATCTCAGCCATGAAACCACCATAGTGATAGAGAGACAATGGTCAAAATGCAATATTTCCATTTAAAAGGCGGAAAAGAAATAAAGGAAACCACCCAATGTTCACACACACACATACACACACACACTCACACCTCATCACACCACTACTCCAAGGCTCTGATCTGCCCAGGGAGTGCAGGTGGGGAGGATGGGGTGGCCTCTTGTTAACTGGGCGTAAGGCAGCTGGAAGGTAAGACTGGGCTTTCTGAGCATCCACTGAAGTGTCCTTTTATTGGTGTGGATCTTGCCTCTCAGCATGTTCTCTCCCCTTCCCACCTCTAAAATTTTGTCCGAAAGTTTGGCCACAGAGAGAAAACTTCCTTCTTGGTTTGTTTTCTCGTCTACTCCTTGTGTGTTGCTGGTGGGCCAGGAAGGAGCTCAGACAGGAAGAGCAGGAGAAGTGGTACTGAAAATGGCCTTGAAGATGTGGTTCCGCTCTATGAACTAGGGGGCCGCGCTTCCCTGGGATATGACCGCGGGGTGGTGTCCTCTCCTGCTGGCCCAGTGCGTGGCACTTCCTTCTCACATCTGGGTTGCTCCAGACCACTGCCACTGTCCCTTCCAGCTCCCCACCACATGCTCATGAGTGACGGGGATCAAGATGCTATTGCAGGTGGTGATGTTTGCTTTGTCTTCAAGAAACTGTGAAGCCAAAAGTCAAGAATTGATGGAAGAGCCACAGGATGGGAACACTTTCCCCATCTTGGTGATGAGGCAACACAAAGTCCGGCGAGATGCAGGTGCCTGAGCCAACTCAACTCTACCTTGGCACTGGCATCATCTTGATTTAGTTTTGTTTTATATATGTATATTATATATATATTTATATATATATATATATATGTATGGGTTTGTTTTTTTAGCACACTGTCCCATTCTCGGGTCTGGATTTAGGGCAGTTGGTCCTCGGGACAGGTTGGACAGAAGGGGCCAAGGTACAGAAGAATCCCGAGATTAGCGTGAGGCCCAGGCCCCCCCACGCACAGAACATGGACCATCCATAGCCATGGCTGATGTCATCGGGGAGTCCATACAGGTAGCGTGGGTAGCGTGACAGCTCAAAGTTGATCCCAGCCACACAGGTGCACAGTGAAATGATGCAGAAGGTTCCTGGAGAACAAGGGGAAAAGTTGGGGTGGGGAAACGGAGAAGGAAAGGGAAGGGGAGAGGGAGGGAGAGAAAAATTAGGGTTATTACATTTTCAAGTTTCTTGAGGAAGAAAAATGAGAAGATCCAGGTTAGAGCAGATGATCACAGAGGTCACCATCTGGAATATTCACAGGGAAGACAGTATTAAGGGATCATCACTTCCTTACTCTAAAAATGTCCCAGTCTTGGACAAACTCAGGAAGTCTCTTCTTCTGGAAAACACCCAAAATAACTATCTCGTTAGGAGTTTTGTGGAGGGGGAAGTGAGGCAGGACAGCATTCAGTTCATTTTTCTAAAGCATGTTAAATTCTTTTCCTTTCTTTTTTTAAATAAATATATTTTAGTTGTAGTTGACACAATACTTTTATTTATTTATTTTTATGTGGTGCTAAGTATCAAACCCAGGGCCTCGCAGGTGCTAGGCAAGTGCTCTACCACTGAGCCACAACCCCAGCCCTTCATTTTCTTTCTTTGAAAAGAGAAAGCTTCCCTCTTTGTACTTATTTAAAGTTCTTTCTGATACATAACATCTTATGAGTATTATTTCTCCAATCTATTCACTAACAACTCTTTGGCCAGAAGGAGAAAACTTCTTTCTCAGTTCGTTTTCTCAGATTGCTAACTCCTGGAAGTCATTTTTCATTTCCAATAAGACAACATTTCCTAAAGTATTCTCCATGGAACACCAGCCCTCTGAGACCCTCCTTTGCAGTGTGGGGTGGGAGGGGCTGAGTCAAAACAGTGGGAGCCTGAATATGCTTTTTCACTCAGGAAGACTCACAATCCATGTTGGCACAAGTTCACTCAAATCACCTAGTTCTAAGAGCTTTTTCACAAGCTTGTTTGGTACTGGGGCCTCCTCTTAATGTTATTCATATTGATCATCAATCAGAAGACTGCTATAAGAGGTAGAATAGGATAAAATGTTTTAGAATCAAATCCATTTTTAACCAGTATAAATATTTGGTATACCTAGGATGAATTCAAGAACTTGTTCTCTTATGTTTTTTTAACCCCCAGTGACCTGCAGAAGTATGTACAGTTTGGGAGAGCTGGACTGGGTCAATGAAAGGAGGAAAGAGAGGCATATTTTTTAAGGGGAGGGAACAAAAGTGGTGCATTATGTTTGACATTGACTACACAAACTCCTTCCTGCTTCCAAACAGTCAAGTTTCTTGAAGGTCCAGCCTATGTCTTCCAGAAGATACGTGAAGGACAAAGGGGAAGAGTGGAGTAAGACAACGAGTTTGTGATCATTTAAGTGGCCACAGCAGCTGCAGTGATACCCAGACACAGAGTAAGGGCGTGTGCTGGGAATTATGCTAAGTGCTCAGCAGGTATTGAAACTTTAATTCTTAAAACAACTCTATGTAATGGGTCATATTATTATCCCATTTTACTGATGAGGGTATCAAGGCCCAGAGAGGTGAAGTCAGCCAGACCACGCAGCCAGACCACGGCTTGGGGGCTTCTCCATTTTCTATTTAAGACTGGCCATCAGGCAAGGTGGTCTCTTCATAGAAACACCCTCCCCACGTATGATGGTCCACTTAGGCTCCAGCTCAATGTGGACTGGTGGGCTGTAGTCCTGGAGGGCTAAAGCAGATGGCTAGGTCCCATCCCATAGTCTCAGGTTCACAGGTCTTTGTGCTCTTAACAAGTTGTTGGAGGATGCTGATGCTGAGGGTCAGGTGGCCATACTTCAGAACCATTGGGTTAGGAAAAAGGTTTTATTGAAGAAAGAGGAAATGTAATAGGTCAAAGTTCAGAACACAGAAGCAGAAATAAAAATAGGCAATGAAGGTAAAATTTTACCCATAATCCAAGAATTGAAAGTTCAAAGTATAATGATATGATCTATCAAATGAGTAAATGATATAATCTATCAAATCAGTAAAGTTTTAGTTTGATTTTTGTTTTTGCCCTGTTTTCTAAATGATCATCTCCAGAAGTAGTAAGGGTACAAAAAAGTGGACCCTCCCATAGACTCTAGGGGGACTGTAAATTTGTGTATACAATAGTTATACCTTTGACTTGTGATTTCATTTTAGGTTAAGAAAATAATCCTACCTGGGAACAAAGATCAGGAACAAAAATAGTTTATATGGTGGAGCATGTAGGGAGGAGGGGCTGACAGGAACCCTGATACTGGGATGAGCACTATTTCCTGAGCTAAGAGGTTTGAGCTTCACGTGGAGTCAGTCCTTGGAGGGGTCAAGGCATTTTGATGACTCCAATGTGCATTTTCAGAGACGACTAAGCCAGAAGCGCAGAGAACAATCCAGAGGTAGGGAGACCAGCTAGGAGGCCACTGTGGGCATGAGAAGAGAGGAGGATCTGGAAAGACTGGACCAGAGTCTGGAGATCCTAATGGCTTAGTGAATAATTGCTTCAAGAATGATTAGTTGTAGAGACAACGGGAAGTGATGTGCCAGGACACAAGTGCAGTATGTATATGTGTCATGAATGTCTGTGTGCATGAGTATGTGCTTATGTGTGTTCATGTGTATATTTGTGTGTGCATGTGCATGTATTCCATGTGTGTACATGCTTGGGGGGGCAGCAAAGTATACACACAGCCATTACTTGTGAGAATAGTAAGGATGGTCCCAAATCTGTGGGAGTCGCAAAGCAAATCATTCCCTTGTGTTGTGACTAGTTCTCAGAGTGAATTCTTTGATGGTTCCCAAGGTGGACTAAGTCTCAGCTCAGACTTCCTAAATCCAAATCTCTTGGGGGATAATATGGGCATCATTAGTTTTTAAAAGTTTCACAGATGGTCTATGGCCATACCACCCTGAACGCGCCCAATCTCGTCTGAAAATTTCTCAGATGACTTCTGTAGATCAGCCTTTTGGAACCCTCATGTTGGAGCAGAGGTGCTTTGTACTACCTGGAGACACAGCTCGAGGTAGGAGAGGGCACACGACAGTCCATGGGGTACAGCCAAGGGGAAAGCAATTGCCTGGGTGTGGCAGAGCAAAAGAAAACTGTGTCTTGACATGATTTTCAAATATTCCAAATTCTAACAAACAAAACTGGCCTGTTTGTGTCTCAGATAGTGCGGCTATGTTTCTGACTGCTAGCCTGAGAACCTATCATTGAATGTTCAAGTATAAAATTTGCTAACACATAGATTTAAGACAGAATGAATGTGTGTATGTGCTTGCACACACGTACATACATACACAGTCACCTGCCCAGTGGGGTGAGTTCAAATTTGAGCTGTCCATGGGATGTTCAAGGTACTGAGAAACACGGATCTGGAGCAGTATAGAAAGTTCTGCCTGGAGATGTGGACCAAGTCAGCCTCTTATAACTTGAAGCTCTGGAGGTGATGAGGTCCTGTGGAGACTTTACATAAGCCATATTTACAAAGGACACTTTGTAAAATGGGAACATTTCTTCTCATAGCAGCTGTACTGTCCTCTTCATGAAGTCCAGGGATTTGTTTTGGGGGAGAAGGTCCATCTCAATGGAGTGTCGGCCTTCCCAGGCTGCCTGTGGCTGCAAGAGCTTGATACACACAATTTTCATAGCGTATTCCACCAGCAGAATGGACAAGACACAAAGAATGTGGTTGATAAATTGTGAGTGGAGAGAAGGACCATGTGGACCCAATTTCCAATGGGAAATGACTTCTAGAGAACATACATCTTCTTACGTTATGCTAATGGAGTTAGTTGGGGCATTTTCCTGCCTTCACTTCCTATAAGTTGTACTGTGCCTTTGGAACTTTTCAATATTCCTAAAGATAGAAAAACTTCCATGGCTCTCACTCAAGATGGTCCTCTAAGTTGGTAGGTCTGTGAGAAATGTTTGAGGATAATGTGTAGACCCGTTTCTGGATTTGTCTAAAAGCCCTCTTAATAAAATGCCCAATTAAAAAAAAAAGATGGCCCTTTAAGCCACTTATCTGCACAACTTGCCAGGAAGTTTCCCTGCACAAGAAGAGAAGAGTTGGAAGAAGTTTTGTTTCCACATATGCTACTCTTTCTGTTATGAACAAGGATTTATATTTTTATATACTTCTCTACTAATAAATTCAAACTGAAAAATGTGTTTTAATTGTTAGAAATGGCTAGAATTGGGCATGTACTAGATCCTCAATAAATGAATCAAATGAATAATGAGTTGCCCTTGTTCCTCAGCATTGGATTCTGATAGTTTAAATCACAAGGTGCTTCAACAGATATCAATTGAGTCCTGGGGAGTGGGGGAGGGGAAGACAGAGAAGCAAGGACCCTGCCTGAATGATCTCCATCTAAGGCAATGGGCACAACTCTGCCAGTAAATTGGTGGCTAATCGGGGAGTGTGGGGTGCATAATTCCCCCCAGCAACTTGCTGGGGTTAGGTGGGGGCCTTTGGGAAATTAAACAAAGATGTTAAATGGCTCTGATGGAAAAGATGTCTCCACGAAAGGGCAGCAAAAGGCATCATAGCATGGAAGTTGCAACCCAAAGTCCCATGGGTGGTGGCACAGGGCTGGGGATTGCTGAGGAAACATAAGGGAGATTCTGCTCAGAAAAGTTCAGGTCCAGCCCACTCTATGGGAAGCAGGAAGTAGCAGACATGGCCTCTGAGGCTAGGTCGTTATGCTTGGTCATTTAATTTCTCATGAGTACTTAGCAATAGATAAGTGAGGATACAGGAAAGGCAATAGTAATAACACATGGTACTATCTTCTTAACAATACCCCCCATGGGTTGGGGTTCAGGCCTAACTCTGATCATACTCCAATTCTAATTGTAGTTCTAGTGCAGCAATTAAGTGACAAGAACTCTGCCCACTTGGAGCAAGGCTGTGGTATGTGCTGCAGACGCTGGCTGTGAATCATGACAAGTATGACTCTGGCTAGGGCAATAGTGGTGCTTGTGGTAAGCAATGTCAAGTCTGGGGGTGGGGACAGATTGGCCATGATTGGGTGGAGGGGACAGTTCCTGTGGCAGGGGGCTCCAT